AGGACACAATCATCATCTATCGGCACCATACCCGTACTGGTGGTTTTCACGAAAGTGTCAGACGGCTACACCTGCCATCTTGATCTATCGGCGCCATGCTCGTACTGGTGGTTCTCACTGAAGTGGCAGACAGCTACAACTGACATCTTGATCTATCGGCGCCATGCTCGTACTGGTGGTTCTCACTGAAGTGGCAGACAGCTACAACTGACATCTTGATCTATCGGCACCATACCCGTAGTGGTGGTTTTCACGAAAGTGTCAGACGGCTACACCTGCCATCTTGATCTATCGGCGCCATGCTCGTACTGGTGGTTCTCACTGAAGTGGCAGACAGCTACAACTGACATCTTGATCTATCGGCACCATACCCGTAGTGGTGGTTTTCACGAAAGTGTCAGACAGCTACACCTGCCATCTTGATCTATCGGCGCCATGCTCGTACTGGTGGTTCTCACTGAAGTGGCAGACAGCTACAACTGACATCTTGATCTATCGGCACCATACCCGTAGTGGTGGTTTTCACGAAAGTGTCAGACGGCTACACCTGCCATCTTGATCTATCGGCGCCATGCTCGTACTGGTGGTTCTCACTGAAGTGGCAGACAGCTACAACTGACATCTTGATCTATCGGCACCATACCCCTAGTGGTGGTTTTCACGAAAGTGTCAGACGGCTACACCTGCCATCTTGATCTATCGGCGCCATGCTCGTACTGGTGGTTCTCACTGAAGTGGCAGACGGCTACACCTGACATCTTGATCTATCGGCACCATACCCCTAGTGGTGGTTTTCACGAAAGTGTCAGACGGCTACACCTGCCATCTTGATCTATCGGCGCCATGCTCGTACTGGTGGTTCTCACTGAAGTGGCAGACGGCTACAACTGACATTTTGATCTATCGGCACCATACCCCTAGTGGTGGTTTTCACGAAAGTGTCAGACGGCTACACCTGCCATCTTGATCTATCGGCGCCATGCTCGTACTGGTGGTTCTCACTGAAGTGGCAGACGGCTACACCTGACATCTTGATCTATCGGCACCATACCCGAACTGGTGGTTTTTACCATAGTGGCAGACGGCTACACCTGACATCTTGATCTATCGGCACCATACCCGAACTGGTGGTTTTTACCATAGTGGCAGACGGCTACACCTGACATCTTGATCTATCGGCACCATACCCGTACTGGTGGTTTTTACCAAAGTGGCAGACGGCTACACCTGACATCTTGATCTATCCGCACCATACTCATACTGGTCATAATGTCACTTGTACTAACAAGTTTTAGGATTAACCAGAGACTAACATTTATTCCCAGAAATATAGCTACCTTATTTAAAAATATATATCTACAAAATGAAAAAAATAAATCAAAATTGTGCCCACAATAATGCATAATTTCAGCCTAGAGCTGAGGCGATCTAGAGTTGCCCAATCATTCTAGACTTGAGTTGGACTCCTTTTTTGGTTTATTCTCTCGGGTCTGGGAGACTAGACTAACCAATGCTTTGCCTGGTACAATACCATCACATGATATGGGACATCACTGGCTTGTCTGCTCCAAGGACTTGATACCTTACAGGTTATGTGGCTGGAATATTGTGGTGTTGAATAACAAACCAACTAACACTGATACAATATCACATTCTATAGTGAGTGAGTGGGGTTTTACGCCGCTTTTAACAGTATTCCAGTTATATCACAGTGTGTGAGCTTAATGTGGGAGGAAAGCCCGAAGTGATGCAGGTCTCAGACATGTACCACTTCGGTGAAACCCACGAGCACGGGTATGGTGCTGACAAACCTAGAAACATAATCAGGGCGACCAGGGATTCGAAGCCACAATCATAGGTTTCTGGCGTGCCCAAGGGACGCAATTTTGCACAGCGAATCGCGGCGCCTTAGACGACTGGGCCACCCGTGCCCCCCACATTCTGTAAGTGCAGTTTCTTAATACCATGAATTAGTCAATGAAATTCCTCTACCAGATCATCCATCTGGGTGAAATTACATATTCCATTCCACAGCTTCTTTTTAAATTTTTGAGTCTGGTTACCAGATAGTTTAATTTCTGTGATGAAATGTTCATCCCCCACTTGGGTGTCACACTGAGATTTCCCACTGATATTAAACTGCAATCACCCACAGCTGTGATATGGGTGAAGCTCCACCTCTCAGTCATGTCATTGATTGCGTAATAAACACGATTTGGAAGTGGACCAATCTCATTAAAGTCAGATCTTTTACTTCGATAGGATACCTCTCCGCGTGGAGACAATCTGACAATCCTCCATAAGACGTTAACACTCCAATCAGCCAGTCAGTGTCAAGGCTTCTAAATTTGGGTATGAGTGAGCATTCAGACCACCTTATCTGATTTCTGTATCTCTAAAATGAACTTAAATGGACAGTCCTGAATGTAAATTGTAAGGCTGTTTCATTATGTTCTTGTGGATATTTTATACACCCTGTCACAGAGAGGAACATCATTTATAATCCAAAAATGGCTCCCACAGGAGATATCGCTTGGGTGAGATCAAGCAATATCTACATTGTAGATATCACTGCAATGAAATTGCAACACATTGCTTTGCAGACCATTGTGACGTCAATGTTACCATGACGTCACAATCAAATGACATTGTTAATGGCTCTGCGACTGAAGCTGCTTATTACTGTCTACAAACTGAAAAAGTTGGAAGAATGATGTTGTATGATAAATCAAATCTCACCCTTGTTTCTTTTGATATAGAGAATCTCACCCGAGTGTATTTTGATATCAAATATATCAACACAAGTTGATAAAAGTGGGAAAACTCTGAGGCTTGCCGAGGATTTTTTCCACTTTTATCAATGAGTGTTGATATATTTGATATCAATAGACACGAGGGTGAGATTTTATTTATCATCCAACATCATTCTTCCAACTTTCAGTTTGTAGACAGTAATAAGCAGTGTCTTCAGTGTAAAAAGTACTGCTAACAGCTTCAGTAGTAGAGCCAGTAGTGATGTCATTTGATTGTGTCGTCATGGTAACCAATGTCATCACAATTGTCTGCAAAGCATTGTGATGCAATGTCAGTGCAGCGATATCTACAGTGTAGATATCGCTTGATCTCACCCAAGCGATATCTCCTGTGGGAGCCAGTTTTGGATGATAAATCGAGTATATCAACACTCTTTGATATACCGTATTCGATGTAATAAGTGCCCCGCTCTAATAAGCACCAACGGCGATATTTGCTGATATATTGGCTAGTAAACAATCCCAATTAGCACCCCTTCCGATTGATCAATGAATACCAGACTTATTTATTCGCATATAATACACACTCGTGTGTTATATGCACCCTTTATTATGGGCAATTAAATTCTGGAAAAATGTATCTGTCGTACATAAACATTTCAGGCTGTCAGCATAAACCACGAAATTTATCTTTCAACTCTGTTTTTTCACCAAAATAATATGCTAATAAGAGCTCCCTATTTCTAATTTTGAGAGCACCCTGGGTGCTTATTACGTTGAATACGTTAAGTGGAAAAGTGGCTTACCGAGGTGTTTTTCCACTTTTGTAAACTCATGTTGATATATTTGATATCAAAAGACACTCGAGTGAGATAATATATATCAAAGTAAAAGAACTTATTTCAGTCACATTCTTCTGAAATCTTCTAAAATTAACTTTATATTGTTTTGCTTTTTATGTCTTAGTGATTTGTCCCAATGCTTACAATTTTAACATTCAACACAATATGAAAGGAGAAATCACTATTTTCTGTGTATTTGTAATTTTTTTTATTGAAAAAGTACATCACAGAAAAGAAAACAACATGATTTGTTAATACATGTATCCCTATTCCAACATGATGGATCTTAGGTGTGTTGTTTGTAATTAGACATGTTTTATGTCTTGGTTTATGAAAACTTGGTAGGTAGGTTAAATTATTTTTATTAAAAGACATTTTTGATTTTTCTGTTCTGCAAAAGTTGACAGAACATCTTGCTAAATGCATCATTTATATAAAACTGTTCTTGCTGTTAAACATTGTATGCAGATCTTTTCGTTCAACATGATATAGTTCATGTTTGGCAGAATAGTGTAAAAATAGTGATTTAAGTACTACTCAGAGAAGGGTTCAAGTCTACTCACTTTCTCACATCCTTAAACACACCAAAACATTCTCCACCAATCTTTGTCCAAAGATATATAAAAAGACAATGAAGCAACATACTGGTCTTGATTAAAGCCATTGTTATACCTCTGTTAAGAATCTTGCAATGCCTTTGGTTAATCCGTATCACGTGATGAAACAAGACATTTCAATGTAGGCACCCAAATCACGTCGTTTCTGACACTGACCTTGCATATTGACTTGTCACATGATCAGTATTGACCTGTCACTTGATATTGACTCTCGTCTGCAAGAAAACAAGATGGCGTCTGGTATTACACAGTTCGTAGGTAACTGTAATGAAACAGAGGATGGTTTAAAGGCTTCATAAACTTACCTAGTCTAGTGGCACTAGAACATTACAGAAGTTTCTATAACATACTATCACTGTCTGCGGTATACCGGTCCACATGTTTACACACCACACTAGCATCTATATATCGTAACTTCCTGATGACTGATCACTGTCCAAACACAATGCAATATGCGTCTACTGAATCTCAACAGTCAACCTGCAGCCTGAGGGGAATGTATATCACGGACTCAGGATAGTATAGGTTCCCAGCACTCCATCATTGTGTGTATGGTTGTAGAAGGAGATGGCTAAATGGATGGGCTGGTCTACTTGGTGACTTGGTTGATTGCATGTCATTGTACCAGACAGCGTTGACATAATATCAACCACTGGTTTGTCTGGCCCAGATTTGATTATTTACAGGTGGCTGGGATATTGCTGGAATATTACCAACTGCAACTTTATATGAAAAAAAGTGGTAACATTATAAATATGGCTCAACGTGTATGAAATGTTTACTTTCAGACAATGCGTCACTGACCATGTAGATGCTACTGATGGGGAGTCTCAAGATGACAACCACGAGGCGTCGTAAAGTTGAGTCAATTCCACGCTTCAAAACCATGTCTGTGAACGTGCGTCGCCTCCATGAGGCCCTGACTGTGCATCTGGATCAACAGGAAGTCAGCACCTTCGTTGATGCCCTAAATCTGTACAACAACCAGCGAGATGTTTTTGAATTTGTCAACACTCTACGAAAAATACTGAACTCTCCTCAGAAACGACAGTTATTCCCCCTTGTTAAACGTGTCATTCCACGTTCTGATATTCAGGCATTCGAGTTACTAACAAAGGGAGGTAAGCGCTACAATACTCTTCCCCGTCCTGTTCTCTATCGGCCCCATGCGGCGGACATCGCTGTGTACAAGAAACAACACAGTCGACCTCCGAGTCTTCATGGGAGTCTTCGAGAGCGACCTCGCCATGCAATATCAAAGGTCAATGGTCTTGGACCACTCTCCAAATCGGAGGTTAAAGGTGAAGCGTTGCAAATCATCATCGGTCAGCCATCAGATGAGGAGGATGGTTTTGGGTTTACAATACGAGGCGGTGTGGAGTATGGCCTTGGGATCTACGTGTCGGCCATCGATGAGGAGGGCCCTGCAGACAACGAGGGTCTAAAGGCAGGGGACCTCATTACGGAGGCTAATGACATTTCGTTTGAGAAGATCTCACACGATGAGGCTGCCAAGGTAGGACATTTTGTTTTTATCATCCAAAACTTGCTTCCACAGGTGATATTGCTTGGGTGAGATCAGGTCTGAAATTGTTAACAGTGACATCATCAGTCACCATGACAACACTTATCTCTCTGCCACTGAAGCTAGTTAGCTGTACTTTTTACACTCAAGACACATGTTACTGTTTACAAAATAAAAGGGTTTGGAGATTAATTTTAGATGAATAGAATCTCACCCGAGTGTCTTTTTATATGAAATATATCAACGCTCATTGATAAAAGTTAAAAAGTCTGAGGCTTGATAACAAAGCATGCTCAGGTGAGACTTGATTTATTGTATGTCATAATCTTCAAATAATACTTGACAATCCGTATATCACCGACCGCCTCCGTGGTCTAGTGGTAGAGCGTCCGCCCGGAGAGCGGAAGGTTCGGGGTTCGATCCCCAGCCGCGTCATACCAAAAGACGTTAAAAGATGGTACTTGTTGTTACCCTGTCTGGCGTTCGGCATTAAAAGGGCTAAAACAAGGACTGGTCGGCTCAGAGTCAGAATACTGTGTCTTAGTGGGGTATTCATGTTAAACTGCGGCATGGTATCTCAGTGTGCTAGCACTATAAATCGGCATCAATCCGGACTAGTACAAGCAGCCCCCTCCCCCCCCCCCCCCCCACACACACACACACACACGTGCACATCGCTATATAAGTACAATAATCTTGGGTGCGACGTTAAACCCAATTTCCCCTCACCTCACCAGTATGTCACCATTCTGTTATGATATATTCCCTGGACACTTTAACAACCACAGTTTCAATTTGAGCCGAATGACATGACACTAAGCAGCCCAGTCAAATTACAGTCAGGGTTAAATCTAGACCCGTTCAGAGTCCGATATTCGGACCCAATGGTCTGCAACAAAAGTCACTAAAAATTCCTAAACTGAAAGTAAAAATTTCCTTATTCATGTTCATATAGTTTATGATGGTGGCATCACTGGCATCGGTTAATTGATGTATGAATCAAAAAATCGATGTGTAAACTGTATGATTCTATGTAGCAGAAAATTTGAACATAATTTTTTTTATTCATACCAAAAATACAAAAATAAATTTGGCAATAAAAACGTGTTATCTACAGTAGTTTAAAAACAAACAATTATATAGATCAAAATTATAAATCAAAAGCAGACAAATATGACAAGATTGATAAACATTCCAGGCGTAACAATACTTACTGTGGCGTGACATGAATCAGGTGATTGTTAAATTTATAAACATTTCTTGACACGCCCACAAACTGTCCTGTTTGGAGTGAGTGAGTTGGGTTCAATGCCGTTTTTAACAGTATTCCAGTTATAGCGCGGTGTGTCAGCTTGATGTGGGAGGAAAGCCCGAAGTGATGCAGGTCTCAGACGTTTACCACTTCGGTGAAACCCACAAGCACGGGTATGGTTCTGACAAACCTAGAAACAAAATCGGGCTAACCGATATTCGAAGCCACAATCATAGGTTTCTGGCGTGCCCAAGGGATGCAACTCTGCACAGCGAATCGCGGCGCCTAAGGTGACTGGGCCACCTGTGCCCCCCCTTTCCCGTTTGTAAATCCTGAGACAAAATTGATATTTCTCAGTATTTTCGGGAACAAAAATATATTTTTAAAAAGATTGCAGCCCCTCCCTCAGAATATCGAATGGTCGTTCCCTTACTGTGCATGGATTACAGCGTGTAGTGAGATGCTGTCAGCTATATAAACAAACCACACTGTACACCAACATCTGTACTACTCCACATGCAGGTGTGTCTGCTGCTATTACAGAAATCATGTGGCAGGCTATTCCAAGGTCACAATAACTTAGATTTTCATCCAAATCTTAAAAAATGATGTCTTCCAAGAGATGATATTCTTTATACACGTGTTGAAATCTGATATTACACAAAGCGATATCAAATGATTTGCTTCATGTGCAGGTACTTGGGAAAATATAGGGATGTCAGGTCAGGTGACAGGCAAGCAGGAAAGTCTCAATATCTATTATGGCCTAAATGATATGAATTTTATATGAGCTCACTGATCCCATTTTCAAAATTTCCATCAACAGTAAAATTTTAAACATTTATTTGTTAATTAATTACACTGTACATTGTTTCTAAATTTTGGTTAGCAGAAAACTTTTTAAACATTTAGTTAGTTCAAAGTGTTATATTTTGTAAACAAAATGTGGAAAATTGTGGAATGCAAAATTCATATTGATGTCAATAACAAGTTCTAGTTGTGAACCGATTGATCGAATTATCGATTTACCAATAATTTGTATGCCAAAATTTTATTATCAATCACTTAATCATAAAATTGATAATAAAATTGAATTCCTTGTATTCCTTGAAAAATTCATACTGTAATGAATAAATCTGTTTGTCTCTGTTTGAGATTATCTCATGTTATTGTCTCATTAAATAAGCCAATTAACAATCAGCTGTACATGCAGTTTTCCCGTCATCTAACAGTGACTCCGTTAATAAGATTCTGGGTAAGAATCGGTCCCCAGCAATCTATGCTTGTGAGAGACAATTAAATTGGACTGGGTGGTAAGCCTGTTTGATTGTGTGTTGCTGGTTCACGAAGATGAATTGTCACTAATGATAGCATCCACTGGTTTGTCTGGTCCAGACATTTAACTTTTTGCAGCGATCCCTGATGTCAGTCATTTTTACACATTTAAGAGTTGAAATTAAAAAGTATATTAAAAATCAAATCATTACACACTACCTCAGTAGCAACATCTATTTCGCTTTGTACCAACATCCCTTGGTTCATTGACGAACATTTAGTCCCAGAAACAAAGTTATCATATTTTAAGATATAATCCAAAAGGAGCCCAGAAGAATGCTTATATTCAGGCCCACCCAGAGCTGAAGCTATCAAGACTTGCCAAAATATTCTAGACTTGAGATGGATTTATTTTGTGATTTAATCTCTAGGGTGTGGGAGACTGACTTCTAGGTTCAATTCAATGAGCTGATAATGTAAACTGTTCAAATATGTGAATTACAACCTGTGATTATTTTCTCCAGATTATCCGTGCAGCAAAGCGCCTTGAGCTGTGCATCTGCCGTGTCGGTAGAATTCCTGGCACCCACGTGGTACACCAGGCCTACAGCTGGGTGGATCCCCGGGGCAGGGCAGTGTCCCCGCCCCCTGAGCTGGAGCACATGGGCCCCCATCAGGAGGTGGGGAGTCTGCGGAGTAGGAGCGGGTTGATGCTGCTGAAGGGGAGTGATGAACGGAAGGTAGGAGTTCTCTTCAGCTCGAGTACTCCAAACTTACCATGTTAAGAAAGTGTTCAAAGAAATTCAATGTCTTATTGTGTATAATACATGCAGACAATGAGGCCTGTTCCTGTTCATAAGACCAAAGACTTACTCCCCTTTAAAAGACCAAAGACTTATTCTGCTTCATAAGACCCAAGATTTATTGCCCTTCATAAGACTCAATACTTATTGCCCTTCATTAGACCCAAGACTTATTGCCCTCTTTAGACCCAAGAGTTATTTTTCCCCTTCATTTAACCCAAGACTTATTGCCCTCTTTAGACCCAAGACTTATTGCCCTTCATTTGACCCAAGACTTATTGTCCTTCATAAGACCCAAGACTTATTGTCCTTCATTTGACCCAAGACATATTGCCCTTCATAAGACCCAAGACATATTGTCCTTCATAAGACCCAAGACTTATTGTCCTTCATTTGATCCAAGATATTTTGCCCTTCATAAGACCCAAGACATATTGTCCTTCATAAGTCCCAAGACATATTGTCCTTCATAAGACCCAAGACATATTGTCCTTCATAAGTCCCAAGACATATTGTCCTTCATTTAACCCAAGACATATTGTCCTTCATTTAACCCAAGACTTATTGTCCTTCATAAGACCCAAGACATATTGTCCTTCATAAGACCCAAGACTTATTGTCCTTCATCTGACCCAAGACTTATTGCCCTTCATAAGACCCAAGACATATTGTCCTTAATTTGACCCAAGACATATTGCCCTTCATAAGACCCAAGACATATTGTCCTTCATAAGACCCAAGACTTATTGTCCTCTTTAGACCCAAGACTTATTGTCCTTCATTTGACCCAAGACTTATTGTCCTTCATAAGACCCAAGACTTATTGTCCTTCATTTGACCCAAGACATTTTGTCCTTCATAAGACCCAAGACATATTGTCCTTCATAAGACCCAAGACTTATTGTCCTTCATTTGATCCAAGACTTATTGTCCTTCATAAGACCCAAGACATATTGTCCTTCATAAGACCCAAGACTTATTGTCCTCTTTAGACCCAAGACGTATTGTCCTTCATTTGACCCAAGACTTATTGTCCTTCATAAGACCCAAGACTTATTGTCCTTCATTTGACCCAAGACATTTTGTCCTTCATAAGACCCAAGACATATTGTCCTTCATAAGACCCAAGACTTATTGTCCTTCATTTGATCCAAGACTTATTGTCCTTCATAAGACCCAAGACATTTTGTCCTTCATAAGACCCAAGACATTTTGTCCTTCATAAGACCCAAGACATATTGTCCTTCATAAGACCCAAGACTTATTGTCCTTCATTTGATCCAAGACTTATTGTCCTTCATAAGACCCAAGACTTATTGTCCTTCATTTGACCCAAGACATTTTGTCCTTCATAAGACCCAAGACATATTGTCCTTCATAAGACCCAAGACTTATTGTCCTTCATTTGATCCAAGACTTATTGTCCTTCATAAGACCCAAGACATTTTGTCCTTCATAAGACCCAAGACATTTTGTCCTTCATAAGACCCAAGACATATTGTCCTTCATAAGACCCAAGACTTATTGTCCTTCATTTGATCCAAGACTTATTGTCCTTCATAAGACCCAAGACTTATTGTCCTTCATAAGACCCAAGACTTATTGTCCTTCATAAGACCCAAGACATATTGTCCTTCATAAGACCCAAGACTTATTGTCCTTCATAAGACCCAAGACTTATTGTCCTTCATAAGACCCAAGACTTATTGTCCTTCATAAGACCCAAGACATATTGCCCTTCTTTAGACCCAAGACTTATTGCCCTTCATAAGACCCAAGACTTATTCCCCTTCATAAGACCCAAGACATATTGCCCTTCTTTAGACCCAAGACATATTCTGCTTCATAAGACCCAAGACTTATTGCCCTTCATAAGAACCAAGACTTACTCCCCTTCATAAGACCCAGGACTTATTGCCCTCTTTAGTCCTGAGAGTTATTCACCTTCTTTAAACCCAAGACTTATTGCCCTTCATTAGAACCAAGACTTATTGTCCTTCTTTAGACCCAAGACTTATTCCCCTTCATTACACCCAAGACTTATTGCCCTCTTTAAACCAAAGTTATTTCCTTCATAAGACCCAAGACGTATTCCTGTTCATTAGACCTAAGACCTATTTTCCTTCATAAGACCCAAGACGTATTCCTGTTCATTAGACCTAAGACCTATTTTCCTTCATAAGACCCAAGACGTATTCCTGTTCATTAGACCTAAGACCTATTTTCCTTCATAAGACCCAAGACGTATTCTTGTTCATTAGACCTAAGACCTATTTTCCTTCATGGTCTGTGGAGTGCATTTAACAAACATTTCATCAACCATTTTACCAGACATTGTTTGTAGAGTGGTATCAGCTGTTGAGTGATCTTAGTCAATAAACATGATTAGTGTCCAGATTTGTTATGAAGATAAAATAAATTTATTATTATGCTGCAGACTTTAATAGGAATGAAGTTAAGTTCTGAAAGTGCTCTCTTAAAAATAGAATGTATTCTATCAACGGCACACAAATGGGTCAAGTTACAGTTTCGCTTATAACAGAGATCAACACACTGTGCAGCCAGTGGGTAATTAAAATTTAATAATTAATCATCTTGAGCCCAGAACTGTTAAATAATTCAGGCCCTAGCAACCATCACATCTCTATACTGGGGAGAGAGGACAACCATTACATGTGGGGGGTCAGGCATATTGTCCGACACAATCAATCTATGCACAGGACGAGCACTGGCCTTGGTGGAGGGGAGGGAGGGGAGGGGGGGGTTGGTGGGAGGTAGAAAGTTCTTGCACAGGATGATCACTGGCCTGGGTGAGGACGGAGGGTGGGGGTGGCAGAGGTGGGTTAGATGATGGGGGTTGGGTTAGGGATGGGGGTTGAGTTAGGGGATGGGGGTTGAGTTAGGGGATGGGGGTTGGGTTAGGGATGGGGGTTGAGTTAGGGGATGGGGCTTGGGTTAGGGATGGGGGTTGAGTTAGGGGATGGGGCTTGGGTTAGGGGGTGGGGGTTGGGTTAGGGGATGGGGTTGGGTTAGGGGGAATGGGGTTGAGTTAGGTGATGGGGGTTGGGTTAGGGGATGGGGGTTGGGTTAGGGGATTGGGGGTTGGGTTAGGGGATGGGGTTGGGTTAGGGGATGGGGGTTGGGTTAGGGGATGGGGTTGGGCTAGGTGATGGGGGTTGGGTTAGGGGATGGGGGTTGGGTTAGGGGATTGGGGGTTGGGTTAGGGGATGGGGTTGGGTTAGGGGATGGGGGTTGGGTTAGGGGATGGGGTTGGGCTAGGTGATGGGGGTTGGATTAGGTGATGGGGGTTGGGTTAGGGGGTGGGGGTTGGATTAGGGGATGGGGTTGGGTTAGGGGATGGGGGTTGGGTTAGGGGATGGGGTTGGGTTAGGGAATGGGGGTTGAGTTAGGGGATAGGGGTTGGTGGTGGGTGATTGTTAATAGTTCAGGCATATTGTCCCACACAATGGCAACTGGCTTGGGTGGGGATTGGGATTGGGTGTGGCAGGGTTGGGTTAGGTGATGGGGGCTGGTGGTCGGTGATGGTGGAGAGCCATTGGCCGGATGGGGTAGTGAGTGTGGCGTGGCGTAGTTGGGGATGGGATGGTGGTAGGAAGCCCCTGCAGTGACTGAATCCATTATGAGGATAAACACACAGCTGCTCTAGATAACTAGGTGATGATGTACTTATCAGGGGCCAGTCATATATATGTTACAGACAATAGTTATGGCTGGGGATGGGGGAAGGAAGTATGTTTTAGGGGCCTCTGGAGAATGGATGGGTTCAAGCAGCACAATGCATTGAAGACCCAGTTCACACATTTGTGGACAAGCACATGGAGTAGAGTCAAACAGAAAACAACAATCTATTTGTGTATTCTTTAGTACACTCATGTAGGCAACCATCTTCCCGAGGCAAAGGAGTTTTCTGACCATGAAAGTCCAGTTTCTACCCTTGCTATACTTTGCTGTTACATTTTTCCTGGACTATTGAGTCTATGTATTCAATCAAAATCACATAACAAAATTGACCTCCAGTTCTTAAACGGCCATGCAGATTTCAGTGGATTGCAGGATTTGTAAGGCATGTGTACCATCAGCTTAGCTTCAACAGATATTTTCCAAATCTTTTCAGGTTTTTATTCCAGGTGCTGACATGATTTAATGCACCTCCCGAAGTAACACCCGTTTTATTACAATTTAGAGCTTGATTATCCATCAGATCGTTTTGATTGAGCCCCGCTATTTTGTTTCAAGCAAATGCAAGTGATATTAGAGGTCGAATCTGATTGGTCAGTAGGGCAGACATAGAAGGGACATATCCCGTAATAGCCTCTGGTGGCGCTACATTCGAGCCCAGAAATTCCAGTCTAGTTCGGCAAGGGTGGAAACTGGACATTTACAGTCAGTTAACTTCTTTTCCTCGGGAAGATAGTTGGCAACATCTCTGACATCTGTCCCTCCACTCTCCCTCAAAATCAAGTTTAGAGGGGCAGTGGGGTAGCCTAGTGGTTAAAGTATTGGCTTGTCACAGTGAAGAACCAGGTTTGATTCCCCACGTAGGTACAATGGGTGAAGCCCTTTTTCTGATGTCCTCCGCTGTGATATTGCTGGAATATTGCTGGAATATTGCTATGAGCAGTGTAAAACAATACTCACTCACTCAAGTAGAAGTACTGAACTGTTGCCTTTTGTGGTACAGGAATTTATCTGACAACTTTAATTCTGAGATTCCACAGCAACAAGTGGTTAGGTTTAAATAAGGGAAGGGTTCCTTTCTGGAGCATGACTAACAAAATGTTCAATATTTCTTTGTGCACTTGTTTTTATTTCAACCTATCATGCCTAATGTTTCTAAAATTCCATGAAAAGACACCTTTTTCAGCCAATGCAAAATGTCAAGGTGAGCTACTGAACCTAATGATATTTTTTCAAAACGACAATTGTTTTGTCTGAGGTAACAAGCACACAATGATCGATGCTCGAGACAGCTGGTTGTCACAGATACTCGTACATGACTCGTCAATAGCGACACCAACTTCTGCTGCACATGTTGCCAGCGTATACAATACCCCACAGTACAGATTGTCAAGTCTAGCTGGAGTACGGGGAGATTGATTCACATGGAGAATATATTTACTGATGCAACAGCAATTGTTATCAATATTTGGTATCTTGATCACTTTGTAAACAGGCTCTCCTGAAGACTACTTAATTATAACTGGTTTAAATTGATCAGTCTTTGGATAAGAAGGTAGAAAAGCAAATATTTGTGGTGTTTATTGAGAGTTAGGGGATCAATCACTTAAATTGCATTTACATATATTAACAATTTTCGTAATTTCACTTGTCTCCCCACCAATTGGTCATATCTAGAAATAGATATTTGAGATGATTTGGGTAAAATAATAAACCAATTAGTAAACTAGCCCTCTGTCAGTGGTAGCAGTTGACTGACTAGATTACTAGCCTGAATAGTAATAACATATGGACACTCCCTAAACAACCTGCAATTCTACTAGTCCTCAAGATGCCTTTGAGACACCTAGACTGGGAACTCTGGAATGTATCCAAGCCAGACGAGAGGCCAATATTCAGCCCAAGGTCTGTAGCAAATCCTGTAAAAATTGCCAAATAGGAATAAGAACATTCCCAATTCATGTCACTATGTATGAAAAAAGCGACAGAAAGCTCTGCAAAAAGCAGAGCTGACTGTACGATTCCGTCTATTGATCGTCAGCATTTGTTTTATGAATCACTATCAAATCAGTGATGATACCAGGTGTTCGCGAAAACGTGAGTGTATCCTGCCATCGTGTGGCACCCATCACAAACACATGCAAAGGCAAGTCAATTGTTCACCGAAAAAACACGGGAACATATGGTACATGTCAAATATGTAATTGCATCGGATATAATCTAATTCATCAAATTTAGAAGTGCCTTCCCATGTCTACCATTAAACTATCTGTTATGGCCTTGTAGAGACTTGTATCTTCCAGATAACTCAGCCAATAAACACGACAGAGAGGAAGAGGATTTGATGATAAGTGTCAGATTATTGCATAGAGATCAATGCTGAGAATGCAGTGTTGAAATACCTCTGAATTTAAGAACTAAGAATTTAGAAATAATCCAAACACTGAACAAACCAATGATATTTCCCCAAAAAATTTGCCGGCCAATGACACTAAGTTAGTAATCCTAGATAAGTCCTCGGATGTTTCTATCCTTGCTCCAGTATTCAAGAGACTGTCAGCTCTAAGAAAGCTTCATGTTCTGGAATTATGATCACAATGAAGTGTTGCAGTAGAGACTAGGGCTGCAACAATATACCTAGGTCACGATACGATACGTATCTCGGTTATTACATCACGATTCGATACGTATCTCGATATGCTACGATACACATAGTGACAATAGAAGACAAGAGATAAATGAATTAAACTTAGTTTATTAGAATGAAACATTAAATGAAAGTGAATGAATGTTCATGAGTTATAAAATATATACTGTAATGAGTATTTTAACTTAATGAATCATCTCGGATGCAGGGAGTTAACACGCCCCCGACGCCATTACGAAACTCAGGCTTCTATCTCTATTAGTTCACCCACACATGATCTGTTTTTGCAGAAGCGCATTTTGGACAGAAGTACTGATATTTCTTATCCGTTTCAGCCTCATTATAATGATAATCACACCCACCCACACGTGTGTATGAGATGACGTTCCATTGATATGTTGGATATTTTGTCTATACTGTATATTAATCAGCCTATATGAAAATTGCAAAAATAGCAGAAAATCTTCAAGCCCAATGGATCAATATTTAGACAATACCTGTGCTTTGAGTCTCATTTCAATACAAAACAATTCATGTTCCGAGAAATTTAAAAATGAAATATCAGATCTGACAAATGTAAATGTTGTTTGACACTTATTCTCCACTACAGTCGACCATCAGCAAAACAGAGCTTTTATTTCAAATGTATTTTGACTATCTTAATTAACAAAACAGTATGTTTTCTTCAGTAAACTTTGATTGGATGACCCAAACAGATCTTGAATTTTCAGAATATAACTCACAAATAGATTTATCAAATTCATCTTTATCAGATATGTTAACAGTAGCTCAGTTCTTCTGGACACCATTTTTATTATGTGAAGCTAATGTATCAAAACCAGAATCTTTCAAATTGCAACTGTATCTTTTACCAACAGTGAAATACATATACCATGACATATTTTGTATGACATGAATGTTAACTGTTGCAACTGACTTGAAAATGACATAATATTTGCAGATACACAAGAGTGCTTTGTCAAAACATTTAGTTTTGTTTGTTTGTTTTGTTTGTTTAACAGTGCACTCAGCAATATTCCAGCTATATGATGGCGGTCTGTAAATAATCGAGTCGTGACCAGACAATCCAGTGATTGACTTCATGAGCATATCCACGCAATTGGGATACGATGATGTGCATCAACCAAGTCAGCGAACCTGAGCACCCAATCCTGTTTGTCGCCTCTTACGACAAGCATAGTCGCCTTTTATGGCAAGCATGGGTTGCTGAAGACCTATTCTACCCTGGATCTTCACGGGGCTCAAAACATTTAGAAACATAATGAACTCGCTGTTTAAACAAGATTTTTTTATAGAAGGCACACAATATATTAAGTTGTAGCACTATCACGAGGGATACATGTGGTTTTATGTGTCCCGAAATAGGTTTTATACCTTGAGCCGAGTGACACTGCTACAATGAATATATCTTACCTACCTGTTTTAATCCGCCATTGTAGAAGAATTAAAACAAATTAAATTTTGATAGAAAACAGCTGTTCGATTGACCTGAGGTTAACTTGTCCAATGTTACATGACTTTCATTGACTTGGAAAAAGTGTGCAGCTTTTTGCTTCGAGGTGGGTTATAAGGGATTTATTCTCCTGCTGAAAAATCTACATACAGCCTGTCTTCTTTGTGGCGGGGTATAAGGGATTTATTCTCCCACCCAGAAATGTACTTCCCGCCCAGACAGGATGCGTAACATTTTTTTCAAGATCGCGTAAACCAATCATGATCTTATCATTCTGACATGGAGGTATGATATAGTTGTTTGTAGTATGTCACAAGAAGAAAATATTAAATACATTATTATTAATAATGATATTAAATATAGTTCTAAAACCGAAACTTTTTCAAAGCCAGATGCGTTTGAACTACTGATCAAGTTAACATGTCTGATCCAAAAATATAGATCACATCAAAATGCAGAGCTTGGAAATCATTTTACAGGATTCATTTGTTAAGTGTGTATGAACAGCCATCAAAATAATTTCATCCTCATCTGTATAATTGCCTCTCTGGCCCTCTTTAGTGCCACAGAGCATCACGATTTTGTCTGCTTACGTGGGAAGGAAAGCTTGATCCGGAGAGGAAGAACTCCTGGATCGTCAGGGATGTTCATAGACTGTTGTCACGGCATCAGTGCAGCTTGAGACAGCATGGGATTGATCTGTTTCGGAAGATTCAGCAGTCACTGCCACATCTGGACGATCAGATATCCATCAATAAAAGGATGTCTGATTGTCCAGAAAAACTTGACTGCACAATTCATTTCTCTCTCACCAATTTGTTTTTCTTCTTTGACAACTCTGCAATCTAAACTCTGTATTTTTATACTCGATCCCTCTCCTGGGCCCCGTTCCACAAAGCGATCTTAGCCCTACGATTGTCGTAAGTCTATGTTAAAATATGGGAGTTACGATCGACTTAGCGCTACAATCGCTTTGTGGAACGGGACCCTGATTCGTTATCCTGGATACTTTGTGTTCTCTGTACTCCTTCTGATACTGGGGGCACGGGTGGCCCAGTCGTCTAAGGCACTGCGATTCGCTGTGCAGAGTTGCGTCACTTTGGCAGCCAGAAACCTATGATGGTGAGTTCGAATCCCGGTTCGCTCCCTTGTTCATTGGAATTGGGCAAGTTTGGTGGGAAGGTGTGTTCTAGTTGCTTTGTGTATTGACAAAGGGACAGAAGCGACAATTAGAGTATAATTTAGTGCACTTTACTATGTAGGAAAGTATTTGTGGCTTAGTGGAGCACGAAATTTCAACAATTTATTTACACTACTTAAATATATTTTTATCAAACTGATGGGGAATGGTTGGCTTTATTATTTATTTTTTGGGAGAACAGTGATGCCATATTGAATTAGTTGATAATATATTTTAGCTCTCTGATGTACATGTATGTAACTTGAATCTGGAAAAATTGTTACATGTTGCTTTGTTCAAAAACATGTAACATCATCTACTGAATTCCATAAAAAATAAGACCCGTGAAGATTCCGGGGTAGAAAAGGTCTTCAGCAACCCATACTTGCCGTAAAAGGTGACTAGGCTTGTCGTAAAAGGCGACTTACAGGATCGGGTGGTCAGACTCGCTGACTTGGTTGATGCATGTCATTGATCCCATATCCGTGGATAGATGCTCATGATGTCAATCACCGGATTGTCTGGTCCAGACTCGATTATTTTACAGACTGCTGTCATACAGCTGGAATATTGCTGAGTGTGGCGTTAAACAACAAACAAACAAACATAAAAAATGAAAAAAAAAAAAATATATAAGCAGGTGCTCACTGCAAAATAATGTTCCTAATATTTTGTTATTGTCCCCAATTACCTAAGGCACGAAGAAAGTCACGATGGGATTTGCCTTCTTTCTTTACTTGAAGAAATACACCAGATGCATAGTCCTTACCAAACTCTGAATATCGACAAGTGGTGATATATTTCAAATTCTCCATATATCCACTACTTGCTTATATGGTTTGTGAAGTGACTCTGCTGTATTTGCAGGTGAACGTCGTCGTTGACAAGGGTGAGTGTCTTGGGCTCATGATCCGTGGGGGCCGCGAGTTTGGTCTTGGCGTCTACGTGTCCGGCATTGACCCCTTCTCTGTGGCGGAGAATGCAGGCATTAAGGTAAAGTTCTCATGGTTCTATTGTCTAAATTGAAAAAATTGGCAAACAGTGTTCCTGTTTTAGATCACATGACTACAGGTCTTGTGAGGTTACGTTGTGGCGAGATCGAGAGTCTGTCTGTCAGTGACTTTTGACTTTCACATTTTCTACATTTCCTCTGAACCCCAATACCTATGAACCTGATTTGTTGTAAACATAATTCCAGTCCAATTTGGGACATGGCTACAATGCCAGCCATTTTGGAAAATATTATTTTTGCCCATTGCCAAGTCATTTCTGCATGTATCATGAAATTGGATATACGAAATTGGATGTACAGCAAGTACATGGTATGTGAAGAGTGAGTGAGTGAGTGAGTGAGTGAGTGAGTGAGTATGGTTTTATGCCGCTTTTAGCAATATTCCAGCAATATCACGGCGGGGGACACCAGAAATGGGCATCACACATTGTACCCATGTCGGGAATCGAACCCAGGTCTTTGGCCTGACAAGCCAACGCTTTAACCACTAGGCTACCTGACCGCCCCGGTATGTGAAGAAACAAGGGACCTTCTTTGACCTTAGATATCATCTTTCCTGAATGTTCCAGAAAGATTCTCAAATTGATTTTCCAGATTTGACTGGTCCTAGCAACACATGATGGATCAAATGGTCAATCTTGGGTACTTGTTGATTTCATGTAATTGTACCCCACAACGTGGATTGCTCCTCACAATATAAATCACTAGATTGTCTGGTCCAGACTTGATTATTTACAGAACACCATCATATGGCTGGAATATTGCTGTGTGTGGCATTAAACATTGACACCATGAGCACTGATCTATGAAATTGGGATCCGATGACATGCATCAACCAAGTCAGTGAGTCTGACACCGATCCTGTTAGTCGCCTTTTACGACAAGCAAAGTCACCTTTGAAGATCAAGCATAGGTTGTTGACAACGTATTCTAACCTGGATCTTCACGGGTTTCTATCAACAAGATGGGGAAAGTGTATGTGATGTTAGATATGAAAGGGGAGCTAACTCTCCCCATCATGGCAGTAGGGATGGTTATTGGGGGAGGTGGGTTACAGTGTGTTGATTACAGTAACCGTCAAATGACCGGTTGTAGGTGGGAGACCAGGTGCTGGATGTCAATGGCCGCAGTTTTCTGGACATCAGCCACTCGGAGGCCGTCAGCATCTTGAAGACAGGTCGGCACATGATGATTACTGTCAAGGATGTTGGGAAGCTGCCATTTGCAAAAACAACGATTGACAAGACACAGTGGTTGCCACGTGACAGGCTTCCCAATCAGATGGGATCAATTAATGCAAGGTACCATATATGGCAGGTTTTGACAAATGTACTCAACTGAACACTGGACAAACGTCAAATTTCTTCAGGACCAGTAAACTTGTAGACTGAAGTGATTACAGATACTTGATTACAGCACCAATTTTGTCCATTTTCATCCACAGAGAATACCTAGTCACTTTGAAACCTGCACAAACCTGTTGCCTGGTTGTGTGTGTGGTTCAGCCTGTAATCATGGAGAATATTATGCTTATGCATGCAAACTGTATTGTACATCCTTTGCTGTTAGGTTCTGAATTTTTCAGCCATCCCTGGTTCTGTCAAGATACATATTGTCCTGCAGCAAGTATGTTGTTACAGCCCTAGTCCACATGCCAGTGTTGTTGTGTTTGTGGTTCCAGGTTGTCGTCCAGCATGAGCAGCCTGGACAAGGTGGGGCTGCAGAACCACCAAGAGGGACACGCCCGGGTAAGTATTCTACGCTGGCTGGTGACACGATCGAGACAAGAAATGTAGGCTTGAAATTGCAAGGGTGGAATCTTGGCTTTGATGTATATAGAATACTAAACGAGCTTCCGTGTAATACAAAATTTATGAAACGAGTGAATAGTTCGGGTATCTGACGAGCGAAAGTTTCATAAAATTGTTTTTATACGGGAGCGAGTTTAGTATTTTATTTATAACTGGCCATTTATAACGTTTTTAGAATTATACTGTTGAGTGTGAATAGGCTGACACCTACACGATCCACGGCATAATCCAATTGAGTTTAACACAGTAATACTTCAAACACATCAAAAGTATGAATTTAATACCATACAACGGTCCACCTTTAGAATTGAGGCGTCCGTTCCACAAAATTATCGTAGAGTTAAGGTTATCGCAACTCATATACTTTAACTTAGACCAATGACTGTCGTTGCGCTACCATACGATCACCTTGTGGAATGGAGCCTTGCACCTCCAAGTTTACAATCACGCCACAATACCCAATGACGTAATTTGTGGAATTTTGTTGCAAGATCCTTCTGCGAAACAATGCCATGTGACGTCAGCCTAGCCACAAGGTTTGCTGGGGTCATCGAGTGTGCATAAGCTCCTCTCATTGATCTATCATCTCCATACGCAATGTCGTTGAATAAGCCAAGGGATGTTGAGAGCTTTCAATATTTGTTCGTGAAACGAGTTCCTAGAGTACATAAGCATGCGTTTTGGTATTACACAATGTGTAATACAGCTGTATGTTTATTAAACGGGTGATCTCTTCACGGGCAAGTAATAAAGGCTAGTAGTACCCCATGCTTGTCATGTGATGAGGCTGGATTTCATGTAGGTATACAAATTTTACCAGGTAGATTTGGCACATCTGTTTAAGCAACTAACATCTCACCAGATTTTGTTCCCATGGGAGGTAACCTTGTTTCCATGGGAGGTAACTCAATAGCCATGGGAGATAACCCATTCCCATTGGCGATAATATCCATATCCCATATCCATGGGAGATAACCCTATATCATAGATTTCCACATTTTTCTAACCAAACCACATAAAAAGTGATAATTGTATATAATTTTACTTGTGGTAGAACTATGTGCTCACAATGTCAATCATCGGTTTGCTATCACCTCGTTTATATCTGGATGTATTACTGCTGAGCATCCTGTAAATGGCATTCACTCACACATGTGTTCTGTCTTCAGATCGGCTTCAGCAAGGGAGCAGGGTCACAGCTGATGAGGAACACAACGACATCCTGGCCTCAGAACGATGTCATCGAACAACATGCAAGGATCCTGCTCAACAGCAAAGAGCAGACAACTCTGCGCTACTATCTGAGTGAACATCAGAAGGGTACCATCCAGACAGATGGCCTGGTGTTTGCTCTGTTTGAACTACTCAACACACAGGCCAAGGTAGGACACAGTTAACATGTGGATGTAGAACTGGCGATAGTATACATTTATAGACTTTATATGAGGTCAATATCTGTTTTTATGGACCCCAAAACATCGACCTCCATAAAAACAGGTATGAGGTCATATACACTCTATAACTGCTTTATCATACGATAAAAAGACAAAAGCAGATTCAAAATAATGCTAGCTATGATAACAAATGGAGACATCTAAATGGCTGAGGTTTGGGAAATACCGTCTCCAAGTAATTCCAATTCAATTTTTAGTAATTCCAATCGATGTTGTAAAATATCAGACAGAATTTGGAGTCAATTTGCTGTGAACGTGTAACCAAGTCTTGGTCAATGAAAATCGCAGAAATCTTTCCATTATATAATAAATTGTATTTATCATATTATGGGTATATTTTCTCAGCAGGATAACGCAATGGGGAAAAAAAGGTGTTTATATGATGAGACTCTGCAATGGGCTGCTTCACAGTGAAAACAACAAAACAAATAGTATGAAGTACCAATTTTATTCAGCGAGACATGAATGTTATGATACTCAATAAGAATATTTTTTCATTTCTCCAAAGTTTACTTTACTGACTGAAATTCGCCCCTTGATCAACCTCCGAGATTTGTCACGATATGACAGACTGGTCCGCAAGAAAGAAGCCCAGATGATCCGGGTAGGTGCCGAATTCATGAGTAAATAAGACCACCTCTGATGTGGAGTGGATAGAGTGTCTGTCCAGGGAGTGGAAAGTCGGTGGTTTGATCCCTGGCCGCGTCCTACCAATAGACATGTAAAGATGGTACTTGTTGTTACCCTGCCTGGTGCTCGGAATTAAGGGGATTAAACAAGGACTGGTCGGCATACTGAGTGTGAGTCAGTATACTGAGTCTGAGTGGTGTATTCATGTTACAATCTGTCATTGTATCTCAGTGGGCTAGTCTAAAACAGGCATTAGTGTGCACTTGTACAAGCAGACACACACACACGCACACACACACACACACATGTCCCTGTGTAAGTGCAATAAACCACCACATCAGTGAGAGAGGTGGGTTTTATGCAGCTTTTGGACACTTTCCACATCACAACACAGAACACAAATTAATACCCTTGGCATGGTCATTATGGAAAACATGAACCCAGGGACTTGAGCTCTGAGGCGTTCTGACAATACCTGGGCCCAGATGGATCAGGAATTCAGACTCGCTGAATTGGTTAATTGCATTTCATCACATCTACCTCGTTGTGGTCGAGATGTCAATCACTGGAATGTCTGGTCCAGACTTGATTGTTTACAGACTGCCGTCATATAGCTGGAATATTGCTGAGTGCGGCATTGAACAAAAAACAAACATACATTGCATTCTGATGTTTTGAAAGTATTTTGTTGGTTGCCAGGACAACGATGACTGTGCTCTGATTCCTGACACCTTCTCCATGTTGTCCTTCGAGAGCACCGAGGCTTACCTCGAGGACCGGTACCGGAGGACGCTGTTCTCATCAGAGGTAACGTCATCAGTGTTCTAATCATCCTGTCGAGTTATGTGTGCACATCATTCTTTATTACACACATTACAACACATGTTCCTTCGTTGTTAAGGACGAGTAAGAGTGTGGAAGTATCACGAATACAGTATCTCCATCAAAATTCCCCAAATCATATACTGTATTCACCGTAATAAGCGCTCTGGTGATTAGAAAATTAAATTGACTAACTGGGCACTTATTAAAATCATACACGAGTTAAATTTGTTGTCGGAGATCGTGTGGTAGTAGACAAACTTAGTTTGATAGGCTTTCTGTAAAAAAATAAATAAATAATGATTTACTGATTCGTCTAGAAGTTGGTTGGGGGCGCTTCTTTGAACAGGGTGCTTAGTACGACGAAAACTGTAAATTTCTAGTTTCATCAATTTTTTGTGTTAATGCACCAGACAGGAGATAAAATACAAAATAAGGTGTTCAATTTCTTTAAAAAAAAATTATATACAAAAAATTTCATGTTTTTGAAACTATATAATGGCACATTTTTAACCAAATATTTTTTTTCTTGTGAAGCTCAGGGTTAGTTCATCCATAACCAAGACAGTTATCTCTCTGGCCTTGTTTGTATTACAGAAATCAGAACGGCGCCAGTCCGTGACAACGATGGAGCCCATGATGCTTCATTCCCCGATAGATCACTTTGACAGAGACATGGTAGGTGACACTGGTGTGAGGGCCGTCATGTAGGGGTAGACACAAACATACCCTGGCTGATAGAAGTGAAACGATACATCTTTGCACTGGTGCTTTGTGAGTTTTCATGCGCTGATACGATACATGATACATTTTTTTCTGTATCAATACAAGACGGTACACTTGCTAAAATACATTACTACTAATTCAATCACCCCTGCATTTTTGTCAGTCAGAAAAAGCCAAATGTGTCACTAAAAACAGCCACAACGAACACGTGTCTACAGCTAGCTTTTCCTTTTGAACCTGCTCTGAAATATTTATGGTCAAGACATTTCCACACTTATTTGGCGTAAATATGATTATATGCGATATGTATCGCATTGTGACCTTTGTATCGTGATACGTATCGTATCATGACCTTGCTGTATTGTTTCAACCTTACTGGCTAAAATCAGAACACACGACTGCAGTCCAGCAATGGAGTTGTACCCCATGCCAAGCTGGGTGTGAAAAAGTCCCCAACAAGCTGGGCTGGTTGTAAGAGGTGACTATATGGATCAGGCTCGGGATCTTGGTTGATTGCGTGTTATTGTACACCCGATGGCGTGCATCGTTGCTCACAATATCAATCACAGGATTATCTGGTCAGGACTTGATTATTTAGGCCGCAGTCATATGGATATTGATAGCTGTGGTGTCAACAACACACAAGCAAACAAGCTGTTTTCCATTCATCCAATAGTGCATACGGTTATTGCAACATCACTTTTGTAACTTTGTAACAATCTATGAGATGAATACTGAAATGACATCACATTGTACAGTTACTGCTATGACATCACAGACACATCAAACATTTTGATCTTGCAATCACTACCAGATAACATAATTTTGATGGTTATTCGGCACAGTCTGAAAGTAAGTCTTGAATAGTATTGTCACAGCGGAATATGTATACCGTCAAGAAATATCCACCTCTATGTGGATTCAAAATACATAATCACTGTCTAAGATGCAAAATAATACTGCCTTATAGTGTCTTTACAAGAATGTTTTTTGTATTATATGCTATAGTTTATTGTTTTGAAATGATCTTTATATCCCACAGGGTTAGAAATAACCAATTTCATAAAAATTGTATGTGCACTTGTGCAAATATCATTTATCGTGCACCAGTGGAGTGTTTCCACCATCCCGACGGCATTGTTGACGTGATTTGAATCTCACTGTGACATAAGGACGGAATGATGTCACACTAGAAACGACGTCATAGCTGATGATTGTGACTTTGACAAATTGTGGCTTTCTAGGACAGCGGTCGTGATCAGTGCATTTTTTGTAAATTGAAGCTCAAAAGGATGAAGAAGTAATGGATAATAAAGAAATTATTAAATTCACATGTGTGTCATACTGATTTTACGGAACTTGTGTAAGAATTCATATATTACCCTCACTCTAGCTTAGGGAATTTCTCACACTCGTTTTGTAAAACCAGTATGACACACATGCTAGTATAATTATCTCTATGTATGTACAGTCCCCACAGAGACGTGAGGAGTCCCTGAGAGATGCTCTGGAACAGCTGCATGGGGAGAATGGACATGACCACAATGAGGTGAGTGACATTGAGATATACGTTATAACGAGGTGAGTGACACTGAGATATGCGTTATAATGAGGTGAGTGATGCTGAGATATATGTTATAACGAGGTGAGTGACAGAGATATATGTTATAACAAGGTGAGTGACAATGTGATATATGTTATAACAAGGTGAGTGACACTGAGATATACATTATAACGAGGTGATTGACACTGAGATATGTTATAAAAAGGTGAGTGACACTGAGATATATGTTATAACAAGGTGAGTGACACTGAGATATACATTATAACGAGGGGAGTGACACTGAGATATACGTTATAATGAGGTGAGTGACATTGATATATACGTTATAACGAGGGGTGACTTAGGGCATCCTCACTGTTGTGATAATTAAAAACACTATACACAGAGGAAGGGTAAAGATACTTAATAAATGATATGGTTATAAAGGTATAATTGCAAAAACAACGGGGGCAAAGTACTGTCACAAGTCAAGTAGGGTTCAATACGTGGCCAATCATACCAAAAGACGTTAAGAAATGGTACTTGTTGTTACCCTGCCTGGTGCTCGGCATTAAGGGTCTAAAACCAGGACTGGTTGGCTCGGGGTCAATATACTGTGCCTGAGTTGGGTATTCATGTTAATCTGCGGCATGGTATCTCAGTGGGCTAGCACTATGAAATAGGCATTAGTCCGAACTAGTACAAGCAGCCACACATACACTCACACGTGCATGCACGTCTCTATGTAAGTGCAACAATCTTGAACGTGACATTAAACTATATATAGTGTCTTTTAAAGAACACAGTCAAATTCTGACGTGATAAAAATATTTTTTTTCTCAAGTCCAATAAATAGTAAACATGTGAATAATATTATATTCACACAAACCCCTTGTTTCACTTCAGGAGTCTGTGTGAATTGGAGGTGAATGCTACACAGGTGGCAGTGTTGTATAAAGTGTATTGGTTGTTGTACACTATCAAGATATAGCTTCATCATCTGATGAATAGTGTTATCGATGCTATGAACCAGTGTGATAAACTTGGGATCACAATCTGATAAATATGCAAATCAGGTCACCGGACATGAACTATGTTTTATCTCCAAACATCGTTGTCTTTCTGCTCACTAAGCTTTTGAAAAATGTCCCCCCTTGACATTTAGATAGAACTTTCCCAGCGTATGGATGATTCTGTAGACAAACATGGCTGCAGATCATTTGGTGCTAGATGATAAATGTCACTTTAACACAGTTTCTAAAGTTAATTAGTTTAAGAATGACATTATGTTATAAAGAAATTATTACCCTATGCTCTGTCCTGATGTTCAAGTCCTTTGAGAAATCCTGTTGAATTTAAAGTTGACAAATGCACCAGGAACAGGAAATTTTGAAAGGAAGATCAGTGCAATATTCTATAATGGTTAATGTTGTTCCTTTGTATTCTGTAAACTCCCAAAACTGTTTATCTTGAATATTTCAGGAGGATAACATCAGTTTTCAAAGTCAGTCAGACTCCCATGGCCCTTACCTTCACACGCCAAGGAAAACCATCCACAGGTCAAGGTCAAGGTCAAAATCTCCAAGACCATCTGTGAGGTCATTGAACATGGAACCCGTCCCTTCAACCTCAAAAGCATCACAACAAGAACACATCGTCATGGCACAGGTTCATCAACCAATGAGACTCGCATCTCAGATGTATCTTCCTCCAGTTAAACACAAGGTGAAGGTGAAATAATGTTTTATTTTCTTAACCCTGGACCCCTGGGCCGCGGAGAGCGGAAGGTCCGGGGTTCGATCCCCGGCCGCGTCATACCAAAAGACATTAAAAGATGGTACGTGTTGTTACCCTGTCTGGTGCTCGGCATTAAGGGGCTAAAACAAGAACTGGTCGGCTCGGAGTCAGTACACTGTGTCTGAGTGGGGTATTCATGTTAATCTGCGGCATGGTATCCAAGTGTGCTAGCACTATAAATCAGCATCAGTCTGGCCTAGTACAAGCAGCCACACACGCACACACGTGCATGCACGTCGCTATATAAGTGCAATAATCTTGGACGCGACGTTAATCTTCATTTCAATTCACCTCACCTCTTATCCCTTGTTTACCCAATGGTTTTATTGTGAATTTCTCAATACAATGTAAGTCCTTCTGCAGACTGCGTAAAGTTCTCCCTTACGGTCTGGCCATTACATTTTCTGGGTGTGAAGGTGTGGGGGCTCTTCTTTAAAAAGTTTGTTCAAGAAAAAATAATTTTGTTTACAAAAACAATAATAATAGTGTTTGCTGGACATGTTTGATGGCTTGAAAACTATATGTGTTGAACAGAAAGTTTATTTGTGTGTCTTAGAGCAGTGTCCGAAAAAAATGAATATCAAATGCTGATTTCCTTATTTATGCTTTCTCTTAATCTGTTTTAGGGAGAGGACAATCCAAGTGATGATAGCGGCGTTGAGCTTTATGCACATCTTAACGGTCTTCCAGTAAACAGTACCGACAGGTATGCCATTAAGTATGCTTTAGGAAAATAGCATTTTTAAGTGATGATGAAAAGTTATCATACTTCTGCTGCTTGGAGAGAGTGTTTTAAATCGTATTGAGAAATCAATCAGGTTTTTTATTAAAGGAACTTGTTTCAAAAGAAATAAAACTTTTATGTAATGATTGCTAAAAAGGTTTTGAAGAAATTGCCGACATTGATTTATTTTTTTGTAATGTAATGTTTTACCTTTTGGTAAGTGTTACAAGAGAGTTCTTCACGTGCTCTCCCTTGACAGGACTGTTGCAGACTTTACAACAGATAGTATTTCAAGCTGATTTTACTTGTAAAATGAGAAATTTGTATTTAAATGTTAAAGGCATCATGGAATGGAAATCAGAAAAAGGTTTGATAATTTTCCTTCACTTTTTGTATTTTCTTAGTGTGCTGACTAGATGTTTCATTGTTATCAAAAGTGGAACCTGCCTAAACTGGACTGCAATACAGAATTTGTTGTATAGTTCAAGCATTTGTTAGCAAGTCTCTCATGAAAACCCTGAAACAAAATCTTAAAACTATTTTCTGTTATAAGTTAAAAGACAAATTAACAAAGACAATCTTGAAATATTTTCATCGCAGAGACTAAATGTTAATCTATAGTGAATATGTCATTACCTTAGTTCTTGAACAGACATTTTACACCCTTAAGTTCCGTTGAAACACACAGCATGCAATCTGAAAGAAAGCTGTCTCTCCCAGTTGTTAGCTCACCTGCACCTAAAGGTTTATCTGGGTTTATGATGCAGTGCTTGGTCCATCAGTATATCGGTTCATTTTCAAACTACAAAACCTGTGTTATGTGTACAGAACTTTCATGTTATGGTGTCTCTTTAAACTGTGCTGTTGGTTCTGTATTGATTTATAATGGCTGCCCTTTTGAAAATGTCTCTTTTGCAATTAATCTGACATTTATCATATATGAGTTGGAAAGTATGTAGTAAAGCCTAAAACGCTCACGGCGATATTTGCTAATATATTGACTATTGAACAATCCCAATTAGCACCCCTTCCGATTGATCAATGTACACAGGACTTATTTATTCGTGTATTATACGTGTGTTATATGCATGCTTAATTGTGGGAAATTAGATTCTGGAAAAATACATCTGTCGTATATAAACATTTCAGGCTCTCAGCATAAACCACGAACTTTACAATCTTTTAACCCTGTTGTTTTTCACCAAAATAATATTCTAATAAGAGCCCCCTATTTCTTATTTTGAGAGCGCCCTGGGCGCTTATTATGTCGAATACGGTAATAATTTTACGGGGGGTGATTTTTCAAATCTATTATGACCATTAACCTTTACACAATCTCTTATAAAGCAGATTTACAAAATTCAAGCAATCTGTGTATCTGAAAAGAATGTTTTCATTTTCCTTTGAGGTCAAAGAATTTGATAGGTACGTTCCAAACAGATTAAACCTCTGGTAAGCTACTTATAAAGACTCATTACTCTAAAAACAAATAATGAAATCATTTGTCAGAACTTCAGTTTACAAATAAACATTCAGTTAAACAATTAAAAACATTATTGCTAATAATCTTTAGCTTGTTACTTTTTAGACATATTTAATAAGCTGACATTAATCTTCCAGTTGGTAGCTGATGCCAGTGTCTTACTGGATGACCAAGGGAGATAACTGCAACTTTAATGTGGTTTATACAATGGGTTCAGGCTGTTAACACGTACCACAATGGCAGTAAACTGTCAAGTTCAGACAGATTCCACTGTACTTTTGTTGTTGTCAAGTGTTCCCCACTGTGTATTTGGTTTTGCTTTGAGTATCGGTAAAGTTCCCAGTGATGCCAAGACAGCCATATCACAACCGTCCACTCCACAAGCTTCGGACAGATTACATGTTCCCTTTTGTTGCATGAGTTTGTTGTAAGTTTTGCAACGTGTTTATGGATTTACCTTACTCGTAAGCAGAAAATGTCGCCTACATATGCAGACCTTAATTGGCTTGTCTTCTGTTAATCCCATTGGCTTAACATTTTAGTGTGTTAATTTTTATAGAGATTTTATGTTTAGATATTTAGTATCCTGTGAAGATCCGGGGTAGAATAGGTCTTCAGGAACCCATGCTTGTTGTAAGAGGCGACTAACGGGATCGAGTGATCAGGTTTGCTGACTTTGTTGATGCATGTCATCGTATCGCAATTGCGTAGATCGATGCGCGTGATGTAAATCACTGGATTGTCTGGTCCAGACTCGATTATTTACAGACTGCAGTCATATAGATGGATTATTGCTGAGTGTGGCAGTAAACAACAAATATAAAAACAATCAAAGATATTTCATTGTCTGTTCACCAGTCCTTCTCATGTAACTAATTATCTCTGAATAAAATATTGTTTAAAACAGACAACCGCAATCTTGATACTGGGACCTGAGCCAGACGTGCTCATGGCTGAGATACGCTGTCAGACTTGACTGACAGTATTACAGTAAACATGGTGGGATAAGTCTCTTTTTGGTTCCTGGGGCACGGGTGGCCCAGTCGTCTAAGGCGCCGTGATTCGCTGTGCAGAGTTGCGTCCCTTGGGCACGCCAGAAACCTATGATTGTGGGTTCGAATCCCGGTTCGCCCCGATTATGTTTCTAGGTTTGTCAGCACCATACCCGTGCTCGTGGGTTTCACCGAAGTGGTAAACGTCTGAGACCTCCATCACTTCGGGCTTTCCTCCCACATAAAGCTGACACGCCGTGATATAACTGGAAATACTGTTAAAAACGGCGTTTAACCCAACCCACTCACTTACTCTTTTTGGTTCCAAAGAAATGTCACTTCTGTTTATGGTAAAGACAAACTTTGAAATAGTTACGGAAAAATGAGGAAGCCTTTGACCCAAGATGTGTTTTTTACCAATGTTTTTGCTGTTGTTCTTCATCCAGGGTTGCTCATCTTCAAACATTATAACAGTGCTTCTGGACGCCTCTAGTATCTGTTGTCTTTATGGCACATCTTAGCCTAAATTGCACATGCAGTGATTCTATTTTTGACATGCAAGTGTTGTACTAAAAACAAATTAAATTTTTATTCATCTTATAAGTTTCATGACAGTTTCTAGTTTTGTCCAGGTCTTAATTTATGATGCAAATGCCATGATTCAAAGATGCCCCTTATAATAAGTTTACAATAATTTTTGTCCTTCGAATGCTTTGAGCATGAGAATAAATGAACATTAACTAATTAAAGTTCAGTAATTAAAGTTCTTTGATCATTAATTATAACAGTAGATAGTTTCAGTACTTCCTAAATACCCCACATGTCCTCTAGGTGACCACATCTACATCCTTACCCCACACGTCCTCTAGGTGACCACATCTACATCCTTGCCCCACACGTCCTCTAGGTGACCACATCTAGATCCTTACCCCACACGTCCTCTAGGTGACCACATCTACATCCTTACCCCACACGTCCTCCTGGTGACCACATCTACATCCTTGCCCCACACGTCCTCTAGGTGACCACATCTACATCCTTACCCCACACGTCCTCTAGGTGACCACATCTACATCCTTACCCCACACGTCCCCTCGGCGACCACATCTACATCCTTACCCCATACGTCCCCTCGGCGACCACATCTACATCCTTACCCCACAAGTCCCCTCGGCGACCACATCTACATCCTTACCCCACACGTCCTCTAGGTGACCAGGGCGGTCGGGTAGCCTAGTGGTTAAAGCGTTCGATTCCCGACATGGGTACAATGTGTGAAGCCCATTTCTGGTGTCCCCCGCCGTGATATTGCTGGAATATTGCTAAAAGCGGCGTAAAACCATACTCACTCACTCTAGGTGACCACATCTACATCCTTACCCCACACGTCCTCTAGGTGACCACATCTACATCCTTACCCCACACGTCCTCTAGGTGACCACATCTACATCCTTACCCCACACGTCCTCGAGGTGACCACATCTACATCCTTACCCCACACGTCCTCTAGGTGACCACATCTACATCCTTACCCCACGAGTCCTCTAGGTGACCACATCTACATCCTTGCCCCACATGTCCTCTAGGTGACCACATCTACGACCTTACCCCACACGTCCTCTAGTTGACCACATCTACATCCTTACCCCACACGTCCTCTAGGTGACCACATCTACATTCTTACCCCACACTTCCCCTAGGTGACCACATCTACATCCTTACCCCACACGTCCTCTAGGTGACCACATCTACATCCTTACCCCACACGTCCTCTAGGTGACCACATCTACATCCTTGCCCCACACGTCCTCTAGGTGACCACATCTACATCCTTACCCCACATGTCCTCTAGGTGACCACATCTACATCCTTACCCCACACGTCCTCTAGGTGACCACATCTAGATCCTTGCCCCACACGTCCTCTAGGTGACCACATCTACATCCTTACCCCACACGTCCTCTAGGTGACCACATCTACATCCTTACCCCACACGTCCTCTAGGTGACCACATCTACATCCTTACCCCACACTTCCCCTAGGTGACCACATCTACATCCTTACCCCACACGTCCTCTAGGTGACCACATCTACATCCTTACCCCACATGTCCTCTAGGTGACCACATCTACATCCTTACCCACACGTCCTCTAGGTGACCACATCTACATCCTTACCCCAAATGTCCTCGAGGTGACCACATCTACATCCTTACCCAACACGTCCTCTAGGTGACCACATCTACATCCTTACCCCACACGTCCTCTAGGTGACCACATCTACATCCTTACCCCACACGTCCTCTAGGTGACCACATCTACATCCTTACCCCACACGTCCTCTAGGTGACCACATCTACATCCTTACCCCACATGTCCTCTAGGTGACCACATCTACATCCTTACCCCACGAGTCCTGTAGGTGACCACATCTACATCCTTACCCCACACATCCCCTAGGTGACCACATCTACATCCTTACCCCACACGTCCTCGAGGTGACCACATCTACGTCCTTACCCCACACATCCTCTAGGTGACCACATCTATATCCTTACCCCACATGTCCTCGAGGTGACCACATCTACGCCCTTACCCCACACGTCATCTAGGTGACCACATCTACATCCTTACCCAACACCTCCTCTAGGCGACCACATCTACATCCTTACCCAACACCTCCTCTAGGTGACCACATCTACATCCTTACCCCACACGTCCTCTAGGCGACCACATCTACATCCTTACCCAACACCTCCTCTAGGTGACCACATCTACATCCTTACCCCACACGTCCTCTAGGCGACCACATCTACATCCTTACCCCACACGTCCTCTAGGTGACCACATCTACATCCTTACCCTACACGTCCTCTAGGCGACCACATCTACA